TTATATTTTTCCTCCTATTTCAGCGTATATGGCTTTCATAATTTAGGATATAAATACAAGGTTTTTAACTAAGTGAAGTTTTCTAGCATCTTAAAACTAGCACCGCACTCCTAAGATTATCTCATGCTCTTCTAGAGTGGGGGTCTTCAAACCTGGCCCTTTTATGACTTGTGGACAGCGTGCCTGGCTGAGGAATTCTGGGAGTTGAAGTCCACAAGTCATAAAAGGGCCAAATTTGAAAACCAAATTTAGAAAAACCTTCCCCCACAAGGCTGACTTTCTCTCCCTGGTCCTAAAAATCTACCTCTAAATTAGGATTTAAGGCATCATAAATAGGATCACCAGTGAGATTTTGGACTGTGAGAAATTGGGGGGGAAATACCACTGATGCAATGGAAAAGTATCTATTTGCCACTTTTCAGACCCATTTCAAACAAATGCAATAGGGATTAGACAAGTAAGATTTATTTATTTTTTTTAAAAAAAGATGAAACCATAGAGATGAACCAAAGGAAAAGCAATCTGAGAGCCACCTCACTTCCTGGTTTGGTGTTAAGTCATCTTTTGGTTCCAACTGGAGGAAATACAAGTATTTGGAAAGTCACCTTGGTGTGCAGCATATGCATTTCGTTATGTTGCATTTTTTTTTTTTTTTTGCAATGTCAGGGGCAGAGAGCTTCAAGTAAATTCAGATGCTGGAAAGTCAATATTCCACAGACGTGACCTGGCTAGCAAAGGACAAATGATTTCCAGTCTGAACCCTCCCTGAGCATAGACAGAGACAAGAATGCAAGCCAGAAAGCATTATCTTAAGATCCCAAAGCTTTAAAAGTCTCATTTTATACCAATCGTTACTGGCTGGAGTAGCTCCAGGATTAGTTCACTAGATGGCGCTAGAGTGCAACATATAATGATGGGAAATCAGCAATGCTTTTAACTGTTCTTGGCCTACTCAGCATTTCTTAATCGTGATAAAAAGAGAAGAAATAAGCAATGCAATTTTTAATAATTCCAGCTAGGTCTCAAATCTACATATATCACTGATTATTTTGATCTAGACTAATGAATTGTCACCCCCTTGTGTAGTCTAGGTAGAACCATCTAAACTTCGTCTAGTCCAGGAGTAGACAACCTTGGCTCTTTTATGACTCGTGGACTTCAACTCCCAGAATTCCTGAGCCAGCCATGCTGAGGAGAAATGGAGAGTTTCCAAGCTCAGCCATGCTGGCTCAGGAATTCTGGGAGTTGAAGTCCACGAGTCATAAAAGAGCCAAGGTTGCCTACCCCTGAGCTAGGTACTTCTAGGTACAGTCTTCAACTGATAGTTAGGACTGCAGAAAAAAAACAGTTGCAACCAGCCTGCCCCCCCATTGAGGATATGTACACTGCATGGGTCAGACAGCGGGCTGAGAAAATAACTACAGTCTCCTCACATCCTGGACATAAACTGTTTTAACCAAAGACAGAAGCAACCTAGAACTAAGGAGAAACTTCCTGACAGTTAGAACAATTAACCAGTGGAACAACCTGCCTCCAGAAGCTGTGAATGCTCCAACACTGGAAGTTTTTAAAAAGAGACTGGACAGCTGTTTGTCTGAAATGGTATAGGTTTCCTGCCTGAGCAGGGGGTTGGACTAGATGACCTCCAAGATCCCTTCCAACATCATCATCATCATCATCATCATCATCATCATCATTCATCATCACAGTCAGCCAGATGTTCAGACTGGATTTGGCATTTTTGTCTACCTATCGAGTCCTTATCAAGGACCTGGGATAGGCAGATGTGGATATTGGATGGTATTACAGATATCGTCGCAGGATGGAAGCAGTTCCTAGTAAGGCCGCCTTTTGCAATTGACTAATGGCAAATTTGTCAATGCCAATGGTGTTCAAGTGGTGCTCCAGTTGTTTTGGGATTGCACCCAAGGCACCTATTACTATTGGTACTAGCCTTGCTTGCTTTTGCCACAGTCTTTCTATTTCTATTTCTATTTCTATTTCTATTTCTATTTCTATTTCTATTTCTATTTCTATTTCTATTTCTATTTCTATTATTATTATTATTATTATTATTAATCTCCTCCCCTCAGGATGCCGCTATAGGACATTGCATGCCAAAACAACTAGACACAGAGACAGTTTTTCCCCCATGCCATCACTCTGCTGAACACCTAATCCCCACAGGACTGTCCTATGTCTAAGGATATTTACCCATGTAGTAGGGCTGTAATATTATTATTATTATCCTTCTCATCTTTCCTACTACCTTCTCCTATTGGTATCTTATGTTTATATTACTTTGTTGCTTGTATCTACACTGAGAGCTTATGCATCGGAGACAAATTCCTTGTGTATCCAAATCACACTGGGCCCATAAAGAATATTCTGTTCTAGAAGTTAGACACAGCAACAGGACTGGCCACTGAGGTTACCTATCCTTGTAAATGGAAAAAAGTCCATTATCTTCTTAAACATTCCAGCAGGTGGAACAGAAAAGGGGAGAGAGAGAAAGACAAGGACTCTTCTAGTTAAGAACCAGGAGTTGCTAGCTCTCCTAATCAGAAGCTCATCCAATGTGAGGCAGGGATTTACTCCTTCCATTTTCAAGGGCAGAAAAGGGTAAAGGATAACTCAGAAGACGACGCAATTGGTGCTAGTGGGGACAAGCAGGACACTTCTGGGATTTAAAAATCATGGGTTTAAGTTGTGATTCTGCTCTTCCTCACACTAGCGTTTATTTTTAAAGATGTATGCCGTGGCTGATGCGCAGCTATCATAAGATATATTTGGCACACAGCTAGCAGAAGCTGTTGCCCTAGAGGGCAGAACTCAAATGTAGTGTATCAAGTGGGACTTGATTGCACAGAAATTAAGTGTTCACAGCTTGATGTTAGAAGTTTTATTCCTTGTTCCTTCCTTGCTTTCAAGCAAGCAGATGGGTTTTTAAGACTTGCCATTTCTAGCAATCAGAACCAGCAACCAAGCTGAAAGCTGTACATTCTCTAAACCAAGTAAATAAAATAAATGCATCGAGTTGCTTTTAAGAAAAAATGATTTTTTCATCCAAATCCGAGTACAGAAAGGTTTGTCTTTTGATTTGTTCCCTTCACAAGAGGAAGACACAAATAATGTTCTGTCTCTAATCCAAAGTCGAAATGTTGCCTCTCGCCACAATTCGGTGTTTTATAAACCAAGGAGCATTCTGCCACAGTTTTCCTTATCATGAAGGTCTTATAACCAGGGTTAGTTTTCCCCATCGAAAAGGACAGATATTTTGGATGTTCTACAGACAAATTAATAATAATAATAATAATAATAATAATAATAATAATAATAATAATAATAGTAATAGTAATAGTAATAGTAATAGTAATAATAATAGTAATAGTAATAATAATAGTAATAATAATAATAATAATAATAATAGTAATAATAAATTGGAAGGGACCTTGGAGGTCATCTAGTCCAACCCCCTGCTCAGGCAGGAAACCCTATACCAGGGGTAGGCAACCCTTGGCTCTTTTATGACTCGTGGACTTCAACTCCCAGAATTCCTGAGCCAGCCATGCTGAGGGGAAAGGGAGAGGTTTCCATGCTGAGCCATGCTGGCTCAGGAATTCTGGGAGTTGAAGTCCACAAGTCATGAAGGGGCCATAGTTTCCCCATGCTGGCTCAGGAATTCTGGGAGTTGAAGTCCACGAGTCATAAAAGAGCCAAGGTTGCCAACCCATGTCCTATACCATTTATTTAAGATGAGCTTAACCTGACCCAAGGTTGTCTCATGGAGCTAATTTATAAAAAAAAGACAGGAGAAAAACGATACCATTTCTATTCTCTCCTTCTGTATTCATCACGTTCTTCCTCCCCTTGGAAAACTTACATTCTATTTTTGTTCCGGAATTCCCTTTCGTATTATAAATAATAAGAACTTTGCATTAAGCAGGACAGGTTGCTATCACCCCATCTTCAGAAGAAGTCTTCTGTGACAGATTTTAAGAAAATAAAAGATTCACTGAGCCTTAAAAACTAATGAGCTTTTTACAGCGCTGGGATGTAATTATCACATACCTTGAAGGTTACAACTAGATTTCGGCGAAGATGATTAATATTGTGGGTTTGAGGTTTGCTTGATTCTTGGATTGTACTAAGCGTTTTAACGGCTTAGATCAGGGGTAGGCAACCTTGGCTCTTTTATGACTTGTGGACTTCAACTCCCAGAATTCCTGAGCCGGCATGGCTCAGCTTGGAAACCTCTCCCTTCCCCTCAGCATGACTGGCTCAGGAATTCTGGGAGTTGAAGTCCACGAGTCATAAAAGAACCAAGGTTGCCTACCCCTGGCTTAGATATTCAATTGACATTTCTCTGTGGAACTTTTGCTGCTGAAAGTTGTGGCCCAGTTTTGGGACCTTTTTTGACATGGTCAATAATTGAATCACTACCGTCATTAAGTAAGCAAATCCAGCTTCCCCTATTGATTTTGCTTGTCAGAAGTGACTGGGAACGTTGCAAATAGTGATCACGTGACCCTGAGATAGTGCAACCATGATAAACACATGCCAAGCATCTGTTTTGATCATGTGATTGTGGCGACACTACAATAGTCGTAAGTGCCCAGATCAGTTGTAAGTCACTTTTCTCAGTGCATGGTAACTTCTAATGGATGCTAAATGAATGGTCGTAAGCAGTGGTGGGATTCAAATATGTGAACAACTGGTTCTCTGCATGGATGCCGCTTCTGGAAGTCCATTCTGGGCCTGGGCAACAAAAAATTATCTACTGGTTCTGCCGAAGTGGTGCGAACTGGCTGAATCCCGCCGCTGGTCGTAAGTCAAGGACCATTTTTAAAAGTGAAAGACTACTTATCCCAGGATAGCAACCTAGCCATTAGACAGCTGGGTGAAGAGAACAAGTCTAAGAATTAGAGGACAGTCCGTCTTTGTTCCCGCTTGAAAACAATAATTGCATTAACTAAAAAAAAAAAAAAGATTTATCCCTTTATCTCTTACCTTTTCTGATTCATACGGAGTTCTCGATGAAGATCTTGATGATTCCTGGATGTTTTTACAGGATTAATTAGTTTCTGAGGCTTAATTAGTTCAGGATTGTCTTCGTCTATGTAATCTGGTTCGGCCATGACAGTTTTCAGTGTCTGAGGTGACTCTCTGGGTTCCCAGATTTCACCTACGTGATCTAGAAGAGATAGAAAAGGTTCTTGCTCAATCGATTTAAGAAAATATTGCCAATCTATTTTCAGGAAGGCATTGTTAAGCATTTAGATGTTGTGTTATTTATTGCCACTAAGTTGATATCCCAGTCTTCTGTTCGTACCAATATCCAACGTGGCTTACAACAGTAACACACACACAGCATATTCAGCTTAACAAAATCAAACCAAGATAAATTCAAACCAAAAGTTGATCTTTAAAAGAATTAAAGTTAAGCCCTATAATGAGAGAGGTCTCCAATCATAAGTCTGGAGAAAAAAGGCAGCTAAGCTTTTTTTGGTGCAAGGATGCTGGCTCTTCTTTCATATATTTACACACCCAGACGCACAAAACCGATGGTTGCGTTTTTCAATGTCTATTGCATAGCTATTCCTCACCTCCATCTACACAGTAGGAATCCAATATCTCATAAGACCCGGTATATTTTCTCAAACTGTTTACCATCTCCAGTACAAACTATTATTGAGCTCTATGGAACATAGATTCATTTTGAAAGGAAGACTTAAAACAGCTCTCTTAAAACTCTTTTGATCAAATCTTTTCTTTAGCAATTTAAAGACCATCTTATAGCTTTGGTTTTAGACAGACTCACACTTCGACTTGGATAAACGGGCAAGAGAGGAGCTGAGGTCAGGGAAAGGGCAGAAGGATTGACTTCGCACGCGTAAAAACTTTAGCAGAAATGAAATCAGACTGGCTTCTTATATTCATAATCCCTTCACCCTATGAGCATATCATTCACCCTGAAAGAAGGCATACAAAGTTCTTTTCATAGAGTCTTTATGGGGCCCTTGGTGCTCTCTGAGCTTGGTGATTTTCTTGCAGACATTTCACCCAAGTAGGTAACATCTTCAGTGCTAATACCTTGAAGGCATCAAACCTCCCTTCCCCTCTAGCACTGATGATATTACCTAGTTTGGGTAATGAAATGTCTGCAAGAAAACAGCTGAGCTCAGAGAGCACCAAGAACCCCACAGTCGTCCTCCCCCCCTCCTCCTTCTCTCCACAAACCCAACTGCCTTCTAACACTGATGATGTTACCTAGTTGGGTCATGGAATGTCTGCAAGAAACCCACCAAGCTCAGAGATCACCAAGGACCTCCTCCTCCTCCACCCTCACCACCACCACCACTACCTCCACCTCCACAAACCCCACTCCCTTCTAGCACTGATGATGTTCCCTAGTTAGGTCATGAAACATCTGCAAGAAAACAACCAAACTCAGAGAGCACCAAGGACCCCACAGTCCTCCTCCTCCTCCTCCTCCCCACTTCTAGCACTGATGATGTTACCTAGTTGGGTCATGAAACATCTTCAAGAAACCCACCAAGCTCAGAGAATACCAAGGATCCCACAGTCCTCGTCCTCGTCCTCCTTCTTCCTCTCCTCCTCCTCTCCATAAGCCCCATTCCCTTCTAGCACTGATGATGTTCCCTAGTTAGGTCATAAAATTTGACTGCAGAGAGAGAGGTGCACCTTCACATCAGCAGAGGGCAATCAAAGGTTTTAGTGGCCTTTTTCTAACCTGCGGTAAAGATTTGTATTTAGTTACGCTCAAATCTTAACCAACTTCTAGTCCGCCGCGGCCTGCTTAAATTGTGCCCAAGATTTTCTGCTGACATCTTGCCAGGTGCCCTGACGTGTGTTAGAGAGATTAAAGAGAAAGAAGATTCAGTTTATTTTAAAACATGGGAAATTTTTTTTATCAATGGTTAGCAAAATGAGTTAACGAAAACCGTTTGTGAAACTTATGAAGATGACTGACTTTTTTTATGATTGATATGCTTTATAACTTTTTATAATCTTTGCTATTTTTGTTGACTACACACTTATTATTATATTGATTATCCCTCTTGAATACTTGTATCCGGACGATAGTTGCTTGCTAAAGCGTGGAATGTTATTGTGGGCAACCCCATTGTTGTACCTATTCCCACTCTAATCCCTTCCCTCAACCCTATCCCGAATCCCTTTACCTATACTGATCCTTGTCTTCCCCTACCCTGATAAAACTTAATAAAATATTGTCAAAAAAAACCAAAAAACACCACCAGGGTTTTCCAAAGATCCTTTGGCTTTGATACTAAGTGTGGCTTGCTTGGGCCTTAGGTAGTCCTCGGCCTATAACAGAATTATAACCAGAATTGGGACCAACAGATTTGGGGCTAAGCAAGGCAGTTGTTAAACAGCTGTGCCTGATTTTATGACATTTTTGCCACAGTTGTTAAGTGAATCACTCCAGTTGTTAAGCGAATCATGCCGTTATGAAGCGAATCCAGCTTTCCTCATTGTTGGAAGATTGCAAAATGGTGGTTACATGACCTCTGAACGCTGCAGCCATTGTAAACACCACCAATAGCCAAACACCTGGATTTTGATCATCTAACCATGAAAACATTGCAGGGAATCCAGTGGTAACCTTTTTCGGTGCCATTAACTTTGATCGCTAAATGGATGACTTTAAGTCAAGGGCAGGGGTAGGCAACCTTGGCTCTTTTATGACTCGTGGACTTCAACTCCCAGAATTCCTGAGCCAGAATTCTGGGAGTTGAAGTCCACGAGTCATAAAAGAGCCAAGGTTGCCTACCCCTGGTCAAGGGCTACCCGTTAATATCCTAATGTCTTACTGTCAAAGAAATGTAGGAATGTGGAACCAAACCATCTCTGTAACAGCCCCGGGTGGTGACTCCCTCCCTGTGTAATCACACAACAAATGGCTAATTCTTTTTGCATGGGTGATACATCATTTTCATTCTTCCCTTCAATATTTTTTTAATTCAATACCATCGGTTAATTTTAATAGTCTTTTTTCCCCCCGTTTTAAGAATGGAGTGGTCGCTTTGTTTCACAGATCCCCACAGGGAACTTTGTGACAACTTTATTCATTCATTCATTGATTAGAACAAAGAGTGAATAAATAAATGAATACAGGAACTTTGCGGTGTCACCAAACAATCAAGCTAGAGCTAAACAATTCAGCTAATTCGGCGATCCTGGGAATGAGCTTTGAACAAAAGGATCTTGTCTTTGGTCGTTGTGAAATTAGGAAAAGATGCCCTTAGCTTTGAGGAAAACACGTGACGCTATTGACCTCCCTGAGAAATCAAAAGCATGCCAGATACACATCAATACGCTCTCCCAACTGTGGTTAAAATCAGCTTTGATGTGACTACGGCAGGCAAAGCTATCGGGGCCTCTCACAGTTTCTTTATGAGTCAATGAATTTTGATCCGAGAAAATGGATTAATTTAGGAACCCGGAGAAATATGGAGTCTAAGCTTGACCGCCACATATTTAAGACTCGTTAAGATAAGTAAAAGGATAGTCAAGGCATTACAGAGGTTGTCTACTCGCTAAGAACGTGAGGTTTGTTCATCCTAAATTCAGGGGGGGAGCCTAAATCAGGGATAGGCAATCTTGGCTCTTTTATGACTTGTGGACTTCAACTCCCAGAATTCCTGAGCCAGCATGGCTCAGCTTGGAAACCTCTCCCTTTTCCCTCAGCATGGCTGGCTCAGGAATTCTGGGAGTTGAAGTCCACGAGTCATAAAAGAGCCAAGGTTGCCAACCCCTGGCCTAAATGTTTAAAATTTAAAGCCTCAGCACAAATAAAGTAAATACTTTACTTGGTTTGTGATGATTTCAGGAACACAATATTTTGTCACTGTGTTTGGGGGGATTTTTTTTTTTAAAGCTTTCAGTTAGGCAGGATTTTAGAGCAGTCGCCCATGTAAAAACTACATCCAACTATACTTAAAAAAAAGAAAAAAAAATCTTTGAAATAGTCAAAATAAGTTTGATGCTGCCACCTGGTGTAACATCTGTGCAAAAGCTTAAAGAATTCTTACCACATCGTTGAGGAAGACCAAGGCAAGCATAAACAAGCTTAGCAAGCTATGTCCAACTCATAAAACTGAAGGGATATCTCAGAATGCTTTCTTAATCAAACTGTGGCAAACCACATAAGCCAAACACTCCTGTTAGAATTAAGGAACAGGTCATTAACTTTCCCAATAAATGGAGCTGTTAATGACAAAAACTTATTTTAACAGGCTAATCAAGAAAGGAGGTGCTTGTTATTATTCACAGCTGTTCATTAAATAGGATATTATTATGCCAGTTTACATCACCCACATGGTGCTCACATCATTCAAATAGCACATTGAATGGAAAGGATGCCATTTTATTTGTGTACATTTAAATCACGTATAGTGAAAGAAATGACATCATTTATGGAACTGCATCATCGCGTCCAAAATTGGGTCTGTTGCATGGAGAGCTTATAAGATGTGCGAGATATTTTGCGTGTTCTGATGCGGGCTGGAAAAAAATTATAATAGCTTGGCAACTTTCCAGCCCTTGGATCATCCTTTCAGAGATACAGGTAGTCCTCAACTTATGACCACAATTGAGCTGAGAATTCCCAAGACAGTTGTTAAGAATCATGCCCCATTTTATGACCTTTCTTGCCACAGTTGTTAAGTGAATCACTGCAATTGTTAAGTTGGTTGTTAAGCGAAACTGACTTCCCCGCTGAGGGGAAGGAGGTCGCAAAAGGAGATGGCATGATCCCGGGACACTGCAAGCATCATAAATAGGAATCAATTGCCAGGTCTATGAATTTTGATCACGTGGCCATGAGGGTGGCTGCAATGGTCGTCAGTGTGAAAAATGGTCATAAATAACTTCTTTCAGTGCTGTTGTAACTTCGAATAGTCACTAAACAAACGGTTGTAAGTCAAGGACTACCTGTATTTCCTTACCAGATTCCTCAATGCTTTCAACAATCATAGAGCTTCTAAAGCAGAGTTCCTCAATCTGAGTGAAAGAGAGCAGGGAAATGGGTGCGTGTGTGCGCATGCGCAAATGGCCGCATGCATGGTGGTGGCGCTAGCACATGCACACATGCACAAGCAGGGCATGCG